AGATAGTGATTTGGCAACTCTCTCTCGAATATTAAACTGAAGAAATACTAGGTCAGACCAAATGGGAACATACAATACTAGAACAATGTGTTACTTCTGGGAGGGAAGTTTGATTACCTTCAGGAACAGATAAAATTACACCACACTCAAAGTCCGAGGGGATTTTGTCAAAGCAGAGTAAACAAAACAACTTCAACTCATGATGATTCTAAGACAATGAGAAATAATACACCAAGTTCACAGTATTCAGTGGCCAGGGACACGTGCTCTCCCAGTGACTTGGGACAGAGCAGGGCTCTTTGTGACGGAGCAGGAGTCAGATGGACTCTGCAGGTGTGACCCTCATTCCAGGGACAATGTTTGGAAGCAGTCAATTCCTTAGTTGCTGATAGTTTATTATGAACTATATCTATGGGCTGTTCCCATATTGTTTGTTTCCAATATTTTACGGTGGCTTAATTTCTATTTAAATCAGGATTAAGTGAAAACAGGGAAGATGACATTTTGCTTTCTGGATTTAAAACAGACCATGTCCCAGACTGCACTCTTTGAGTCACTAATTCATATCTGCATTGTGCCTTGATGCCTTTAATTTTATTACGGTTAGTACTCAAACAAGCACTAATATTAGCCTTCTATGCTCAAAGAACACACAAAAACATTTTTCCCAGACAACACTCGAGAGATCTTTGATGTGAATTATAGACATTCATGCCCGTGAGACCATTCAAAATGGTGAGGCCAAATGTCTCCATTCATGCACAGAAGGAACTGGCTCAACACAGAGTCACTGTTCTGACAAGGAAGGGACGAAGCAATCCTCTGAGACTTCCGCCAAGTGGCACAGGTTACATTGAATGAACAATACGTACTGACATTTGTGTCTTCCACAATTCATGATAAATAAGCAAACGGGTTATTTGTAATCAGCCAAACTTGCTGCTTTGAAAAGGCTGCTACTGGACGTTGCGGAGCTCATGTTCCTTCCCAGTATCAGAAAGGAAAAAAACCAAGTTACATTTACAGCTTGCGTTATTGTTTCAAGCTCTCTTCTAGCAATCACATCTCTTTCCACATGGCAAAGGCTGAACTAATATATTTCCCAACTTCTATTAAACGATCCTCCTGTGCTTAGGGGTGATTCTACAGTGGAATTGTGTCCATTGTGTGTGCAACTACAGAAATTAACCCTCCTTACTAAAATTAAAGCTATGCCATGTGAAACAGACCCTGAATTGTACTGGCAGGTAGTGCTTTAGGATCAGACTGATGTTTTGATGTTTACAGTGTATACGTTAAAGAAAAGGGCTGGGAGAGAATGAAGTTTGGGGACAGACTATCGGCTTCCTGCCACTTAGCCCACAGTGAACAGCCCTGAAGATCAGTGGCTCCCTGCCATGGTCTCAGACATCTCACAACACCAAAGTGAAGAGAAATGAAAAAGCTGAGCAACATCTGATCATCTTAAACCAAGTCACTTGTAAAGGACTATAAAATGTATATCAAAGAACTATTTCTAACTTAATATTTGATCCTTAGATCAAATCTAAGGAAAAAATCAAAGGATCAAATCTAAAAAAAACAAAACAAAAAAAAAAAAACAAAAAAACCTCCAAAGTGTCAAACATGGGAGAAAGGGAAGGAAGGGACATACTCAATTCAACTGGTCTAGCACGTCATTTAGCAAAATGGCAAGACCGTCTGAGAAAATACACAAGTCTATCATTACCTGTAGCTGTCAGTTGACATTTTTTAAGAAAGGAACTTACTCTAACCCACCTTCAAGCATGCTACAACTGCAGCTATAAGGATTTTTGGGATCCCAGCCTTTCTGTATGGTGCATATACATGCATAGGGATGTGTGTGCTTTCCCCACAGAGAGGGTACAGACAGGGAAAGCATAACACCTGAGTTATGTTTCTGTCTTTAATCCATTCATTTATGAAAATAACAGGGCTTATTATTCAAGCGGACTCTAGATTTGCTGAGCCACATCTCTTAATAAATGCAAATCCTAAAAAGTCACTACTAATTCTGGCAACTTTTTTGTTTTGATGGGAACAGAAGCCTCATGGCAGACACCAACTGTCTGTCTCTCCACTGTAGGCCAGACTCATTTCAAAGAGCTGGTCAGCAAAAGGAGTGAACTTATACCCTAGCAACAAAAATGATAGATGCTTTAAATCTGAGTTGGAAATATTTGAAAAGGCACTGGAGTCTGCAGTGAGATCCCTGGCATAGCTCTGTAACTGCTCAGCTTTTCTGGCACCTGCTGGTGGTTGCCACCTGGCTCGTGCCTCTCGGGCTCACAGTGTCTGCCTCTGCCACCTTCTCTCTCCCGCAGCCATTTCTCAGAGCCGCCCCCCCCCCCGGCCCCTCCCGTCTGCTTCCCTTCTCGTGTGGTCAAGATATCTAAATGACCAACAGTTTGCAATGGCCATTAATGTCTAAAATTCCAACTGGCACCAGGGCCCTTGCCAAACCCTAAAGAACTTTTCTGCCAAAAACCTTTCCATTTACCCTGGAGGCTGTAGGTTTCATAATTTTTCTGTTAGAACTGCACAAAAAAAAAATCATCCTTGAACTAAGGACTTGATCTACCAAGTATTTATACTGACAACAGATACCCTCCCCTAAAGCAAAGGAACAGCTTTTTTTCTAGCAAAAAACGAAACCACTGTCTGGTAAGTCAACGGTGAGCCTGTAGACCCCCACTGACTGTCCAGTTAGCAAGCTGCTCGTCTCCCGGCACAGGTTCCACCCTGCATGGTGGAGGCAGCTTCAGGAATGGCAATTGACATCTGCCTAACAAAAATATAATAAGAAGCTAGCTATATAGTGTTCCCCCCCATAAATCACAACTATATGGAAAACATACTCCAGTCTGTTAATTTGGCAAGAATTAATTCCACTTTAAGTGGCTTTAATTATTGTTCATTTTTGAGCTACCTAAAAACAGGGACATAGAAACGCTAAAACAAATTCTACTTTCAGACATTTATATTGCATTTGAGTACTTATAAGGCAGTAATTCTAGACCACTAAAATTTCAAGAACAAAATACTAACTACTGATAATGAATCTTTAATAGGGGAAGAGTTAACTGCTCAGGCCCAGGCCATACTGTTGAAGGCTTCACTGAGCTACCCATCCAGTAACACAGCACACTCTAGAGCTGTGCTGTCCAATGCAGCAGACACCAGTGCATGTGACCATTTCAATTTAATTAAAGTTAATTAAAATTTAAAATTTCAATCTTCAGTTGCCCTCGCCATATTTCAAATGTTTGATAGCCACCTATGGCTGGTGCCCAGTGTCCCAAACAGCAGATCCAGAACATTCCTTTCACCTCTATCATCAACCTGCTGCTCTACACAGAGCAGAGTCTGGAGCCCAGCTTAGCCTGGCACCTGGAGGGGCGCATAGTGCATGTTCAAAACGCCACTATTGGGCAGCCCCGGTGGTTCAGCGGTTTAACGCCGCCTTCAGCCCAGGGTGGGATCCTGGAAACCCGGGACTGAGTCCCATGTCAGGCTCCCTGCATGGAGCCTGCTTCTCCCTCTGCCTGTGTCTCTGCCTCTCTCTCTCTCTGTCTCTCATGAATAAATAAATAAAATCTTAAAAAAAAATAACGCCCCTATTTAAAGTTATAAATAGCAAACAAAAGCCACATAAATCAGATTTTTTTCAATAAATCAGATTTAAACAATAGTCTTTATAACATGCAAATCCAGCAGCTGGCTATTAAAGTATTTTAAAAGTGTTGCCCATATGAAAGCACACAAATGGGACTAATTGTTAGAGGATGTAAAAGTCTTCAAAGAAAAAATGGCTAAAGACTGATTTCATTGAAAGCACCAAAAGGACATTAACTGGGTTTTTCAAAAATTGTGCTTTGAAAATGAAATTTGAGTAAATAAAAAACTCAACTGCATAGTTAACACAAGAACCTGCCGCTGTGTACCAACAATAAGGGGTCAGGGTCAGCTGTGTGTCCCTCATCAGAGTGGTTTCAGGTTTTCTTGGCAAGGGGCACATGACTTCAGACATACAAGCTGGCTTTCAACACTCAGATCCTGAGCACTGCACACCCTGACAAGGACAAAGAAAACTATCCAGCAAAAAGGCTCAGTCACATTATGATACAGAGTACCAGCTGTAACTATGATATATCTGAACATTATAATCGAATTATCATAGGCCTGGGCATAATAATCTGCTTTTCCAATTGAGCTGAGACTAGTCTCTTAAAACATTAAGTCAGAAAACTATTCTCCATTTAATGAAGATCAAAAAGGGCCCTTCCAAAGATTTAAATGGATATTAAAATTCTATCATAGAAATATATCAAACATTTGTATGTGTGGTCAGTAAAATGGTAAATTCATGGTATAAATAGAAAAAAAATCCAGATATTCGGGTTCTCCTATAACTGGTTAAGACAATTCAATAAATAAAGCACTTTAATTGAAAATTAGATTCAATTAAATAATATAAAAATTGAGAAAGATCACAAGTCTAACAAATTCAAAGTTTTAAAGAAATCTCGAAGTGAGGGAGTTGATAAATTCAGCTCCACTGAGATCATACTTTGTCCACTGGGCTCCCCTTTCCAATATTTGCCCTGTAAAACCTTTATGATCATGTTAATACCCTTTCCACATTAGAATTTTACAACCTAGGTCGGAGCTAAAAATTTCAATGTGTGGAAAATCCAAGCATCATAACCACTATTAAAGATTTAAGCAACATCGTACTTTGGATGTAAAGCTGAAAATATTTGTACTAGCTTATTAATAAATTATAAGAAAAACAGGAATTCAGAACATAACAGGATATAAGCAAAAAACTTGGTTGTGCAGCCCAATTAAAAAACAACATATAAAAATAGCTTTAATAACACCACTAAAGTATTTAAAATCTTTTCCCAGGTGATTCAGGAGAGAGGATGATAACTGTTCACAGGGCCCTCCCGTCCCCACACAGCCCACAAACTCACCATCTTTAAAATCGCCCCATAGAGCCGTAGGAGCACTTTCCGAGGCTCGTCACCAACGGTGGCCACAGTGTCAGGTAAGGAGCACTGGAACAGCATGTTACTGAGGCCACCTCTGTTGGAAGACGAGAGTAAGTGTCAGTGTTTTGAAAGTCAGCTAAACTGCTCTTCTTGGACAACTATGGATGAGAAGTCAGGATCCTGTGGGAACTGTAGAAGTTTTGACAGACTATCAGGATATGTGCAACATACACAATAAGCTCCACAGTGTTTAGATCAATTCCAGAGTCACATTAAAAACAAGCAAATTCCAGAGCAGTCTGGGTGGCTCAGCGGTTTAGCGCCTGCCTTCAGCCCAGGTTGTGATCCTGGAGACCCGGGATTGGGTCCCACATCGGGCTCCTTACATGGAGCCTGCTTCTCCCTCTGCCTATGTCTCTGCTTCTCTTTCTGTGTCTCTCATGAATAAATAAAATATTTAAAAAAAAAACAAGCAAATTCCCTATCTGTTCTTCTTAGATTAATGTTGGAGGTGAGCTCTGTTTAAATTGAATCACCTGCCCAGGTTGGACATGATTAGGTATACAGGAAAGATAGTTAATGGAGTAATCGGAGCTAAATGAAGGAATAAACATCTGTACAATCTGGAGTTCCAGACAAGAAGTATCTCATCTGCAACAGATTTCAGAGGCCTAAATCCTAATATTATCCAGCCAATAAATCTTAAGGAACTATTCCCTAAGCAAAGCACTATGCTGGAAGCTAGGATAATAAAAACTAAACTATGTTCTGGCCCTTGCCCTCAAGAAACAGCCTCTCTGGGATCCCTGGGTGGCGCAGCGGTTTGGCGCCTGCCTTTGGCCCAGGGCGCGATCCTGGAGACCCGGGATCGAATCCCACGTCGGGCTCCCGGTGCATGGAGCCTGCTTCTCCCTCTGCCTGTGTCTCTGCCTCTCTCTCTCTCTCTCTGTGTGACTATCATAAATAAATAAAAATTAAAAAAATTAAAAAAAAAAAAAAAAAAAAAAAGAAACAGCCTCTCTAATGAAGACAAACCAGGCATAAAACTGTCAGAATTCAAAATCACAGGGCAGGGTCTGAGGTGACACACTTGAGCCAACTGAGTCCACCCCTGCCTGTCAAAGGCTTCAGCATCATATGGCAGTAGATGAACAACTCTGGGAGAGAAAGCCACCAGGAGATCGAACTACAGCTTTCTAGAAGGACACCCCCCAGTCACAGGAGGCACCAGCTTTCCCCCTGCTTCATCCATAAACTGTCCAGTCAAGCTACGTTCTCCAAAGTGAGACTAAAATACACACCTAATTTGTACCATCAGGTGCAGAATTACACAGGCATTAGGAGTAACACTGGCAAGCACTGCCAAGAGCTACAGAATACAGACCAAAAGATTGTGTGGGGAGAAAAGAGAACAGGGAGAAATTTTACATGAAGGCTTGTTAATGTTGGTATATTAACATTAGCTAACAATTTTGAAAATTTTGCTTCTGTGGCAGACCCTCTCCTTCCTTTCCATATTTTACTCAAGCAGCAACATGGCTAGCTGCCTTCATGGGTAGGTGTGCCCATGTGCCCAAGGGCTGACAAAATATATATATATATATAAAGGAAGTGTTTCTGTGACTTCTGGAATTCAACTTAAGACATTCTCATGGCCTTTGTCCCTTTCTTCCTGTTCTCTATCCTGCTGTCTGAACAAAGAGATGATCGTGTGTCAATTGCTAAGCCTTGTCTCTGAGCTCCAAATCTATACTTTAGTTTTCTGTTGTGATGCGGAGCTGGGGGCTCCACTAGTTACAAATCTCCTTTGCCAGTTGCTCCCAGTTAGGTTCTGCCAGTGGGGGCATTGGAAGGAGGCTACAGGTGGGAGGAAGGAGATATACTTGCTTGTTGTTCTTGTCTGAGTGCTGTAGTAACAACAGGGCAACCCCCACTTCTTTCACCAACCTCAGAACCAGCCTCATGGCACCTCTGCAGGGATATCAGCTCAGAGGTCTGGGTCCCAGTTCCAGGGGGATGCTCCTCAAGTTCTCAGATGCCAGCAACAGCCAGTAGTGCTCTCTCCACAGGGGGTGGGGGCCCCAGCTCCAGGGTTTGATAACCACAACCTCTTCCCTCTGACCCCCAGCCCAGAGAAGGGGCTGCTTCCTGGAATTCTGTATGCCAGTGGGTCCCATTTTTGCTTTTTTGGTTCTCTAATACCTGTTCACCCAATTCCCTATATTAAATTCTCTATATTGAAATGTCTAGTGTTGTTTTCCCCTTCTTGCCAGGGTCTTGACTGGCACATATGTCCAGAGCTTTAGTAGTTTCTTAGATCATGAGCCCAGCCTAGGAAGGCAGAACAGTTAGCTGAAAGGAGCCTGTATCTCCAATGAGTCCATCCATAGAGCTGCCATACCTGCCCAGCCTGTCTTCTAGACCTCTTAACACAAGACAGAAATAAATTTGTGTTATTCAAGCCACTATTACTCTAGAGTTTCTGTTACAAGCAGCTAGACCTAGTTCTGATACAGCTTATCACAATCCACTTACTCCTGTTCTCCCAATCTGCAAACTTCTCTTTACCCTGCTCTGCTACCTAAAACTACCTATAGTTTACGACCAAGTCTAACCTTTTCAAGAAGCTTTCACCTTCTTCCCTGCTAGTTCCTTGAAGGCAGGGGTAATGTCTCACTACAATTCTCAAGACTTAGTGACCCCAAATGGTAGGTGCTCAGCAAAGCTTTTCTGAAGATGACAACAATCAGCAGCACTATTGTCCCACTGAGTCTTCTCTAAACTCATTCCTGGGATCCCTGGGTGGCGCAGCGGTTTGGCGCCTGCCTTTGGCCCAGGGCGCGATCCTGGAGACCCGGGATCGAATCCCATATCGGGCTCCCGGTGCATGGAGCCTGCTTCTCCCTCTGCCTGTGTCTCTGCCTCTCTCTCTCTGTGACTATCATAAAATAAAAATAAAATTAAAAAAAAATAAACTCACTCCTGTTATTTTGTCTTACTAGGTCTAGTGGGTTAGGCTTGGCTCCCTAATTAATTAGACTGTAAGCCCCCTAAGAGAAGGTCCTGGGGGAAGGCATTATGCTACGAGAAAGAGCACTGGCTTGAGAGCCAGCAATCCAAACCCCAGTATTGCCACTTACTAGCTGTGTGATCTTGGGCATATCGCTGAACCTCTCTGAGCCTCAAATTCACCCCTCTGTAAAAGAGTTGCACTTTCCTTTTTTTCTTTTGTCATTTTATTTTTTTTAGTGGGGGGGGGGCGCAGAGGGATTTTTTTTTTTTTGAGAGAGAGGGGGAGAGAGAGAGAGAGAGAGAATTCCAAGCAGGCTCCATGCCCAGTGTGGAGCCCGAGGCAGGGCTCAATCTCAGGACCCTGAAATCATGACTTAAGCCAAGTTCAAGAGTCAGATGCTTAATTGACTGTGCCCCCCAGGCTTCCCTCTTTAGTCTGGGGCTGTAGTGTTCAACAGGTTAGCTCAGTCCACCCTCTCCACCATCCTGCAGGGTGGATGCTGATACTGCCTCTCATTTATAAGACAAGGACACGAGACAGAGCAGGATAGCACCATGCCATGCTAAGCACATGGTAGGTGCTATGGGAGCAGCATGATCACAAGAGCATTACATCAGGACTAGTCTATACAAATGTACATAAAACAGAGGTCTTTATTTCCTGTGGCTGCTGTAACATATGACCACACATTCCATGGCTTAAAACGATAAAAATTTATCTTACAGTTTTGGAGTTCAGACACCAGGAAATAGGTCTTATGTGGCTAAAATCAAGATGTCAACAGGGCTGTATACCACAGTTCAGGAAACACATACAAAATGACAAAAAGTTGATTCTGATTGAGCTAATGAATGTCAAAGGACAGTGCTTACTGGGGGGCAAGAGGAACTAGTGTTTAACTGGGACAGAGTTTCAGACCAGGAAAATGAAAGTGTTCCTGAGATGGATCGTAGTGATGGTTGCACAACAGTGTGAACATCCTTAATCCACTGTATACACTTAAAAATGGTTAAAAATAGTAAATTCCATCCTGTGTACATTTTACCACAATGTTTTAAAAAAAGGAATGAAGTACTGACACATGCTACATTATGCTCAGTAAAAGAAACCAGTCACATATTCTACTATTCCATTCATGTGAAATGTCCAGATCAAGGCAATCTACAGACAGAGAGATCAGTGAGTGCCTAGGGCTGGGGGCCAGGGTCTCCTTCCAAGATGAGAAAAATGTTCTAAATTTTGTGAGATGACGGTTGCCCATACCTGTGACTATACTAAAAACCACCAGATACACACACTTTAAATAGGTGAATTGTATAAAATATGTGAACCATATCTCAATAAAGTACTTTTTAAAAAGAAAAATGATTTTTTCCAACTGTAATGATTTTTTCTTAACCAATTAAAAACTTGAATGTGCTTCTGCAGAAACTATGTTCCCCAGATGTAAATAAAACTCATATTATAAGAATTTTTTCAGGAGTACCTGAGTGGTTCAGTCAGTTGGGCATCTATCTGCCTTTGACTCAGAACATCCTGGGAACGAGCCCCATGTCAGGCTCCCTGCTCAGTGGGGAGTCTGCTTCTCCCTCTCCCGCTGCCCCATCTCCCTGCTTATTCTCTCTCTCAAATAAATAAAATCTTAAAAAAAAAAATACTTAAAAGCAATCATGAGTACCTGGGAATCTTTGCAAGAACAAAGACCTCTTTTTCCAAAAGGTAAATCAGTTGTCTACCCCAGTGAAGGAAGAGCAGAAAGATCAGGGAACCCAAGGCTCTCGTTTTCTCCCAAGTGAGCCTCAAAGCACAGGGGAAGCACAGGGATAGTGTGGAGGGAGGAAGATGCGAGCAGCCTTGACCTTTCTTCTCAACTCAGGGCAACGCCTCTAGTGCACGACTTATCAGAAGTGCCCTGCCACTGGCTCTTGGCTACCAGGCGACAGGATAGGCATCCCATCAGTTAAAAGCCCTCGTTTTCCTTCCTGTCACACACTCTTGAGAGTTCGGTCAACAGTGGGAGCAAACAGATGAGCTACTGTTCTAAATTGTGTAACTCCATTCAAAGTTTAATCCCGTGCTCC